GCTGTCCAATGCCGCCTTTTGGGTCATTTCTTCACTGTGACCACATCATGTAAAGTACACATATCTATTCCTGATAAATAAGCCACAGTCATTTATCAGGTGCTTCTCTGCTTCTGTGCATGAAGACAACTCTTTTCTGGCCAATAAAGGAAGCCAGTTAAGCTTCTGTGGGGAGGGCAGCCCCCTCAGGTCCACTGCTACTGTGGGAGCTTTTCTGTCCTCTCAATAAATCCTACTTTCATCGGATTTTTTTTTTTGTCTGAGTCTCACTCTGTTGCCCAGGCTGGAGAACAGTGACACACTCATCGCCACCACAGCCGCAACCTGCTGGGTTCAGGTGCTTCTGCTTCAGCCTTCCAAGTAGCTGGAACTACAGGCGCATGCTACTGCGCTCGGCTTATTTTTTTTTTAATTTGTTGTAGAGATGAGGTCTCACCAGTTACCCAGGCTGGTCTCAAACCTCTGAGCTCAGGCAATCCCCTCACCTCGGCCTTCCAAAGTGCTGGGATCACAGGCTTGAGCCACCACGCCCGGCAAATTCTGCTTTCAAAAAAAGAAAAAAAGATTCTGTGGGGAACTCTGCTCTATTGACTACATTTGCTGACCTACAGATCATGTACCATGATTAGGGCTGCAACACACCTTTGAAAGAACTTTGACAACATTCTCCACAAGTCTGGGGCGTGAGGTGAGGCCTCACACACCTGCCTACCCTCTATGCAGTTCCCTTTTCCCACCTGCAGCTCATGAATGGCATGTTTGCTTCAGTCACAGCATCTTACTTTTCTTCCCTACTTCTTTTTTTTTTTTTTTTTTTTTTGAGTTGGAGTCTCACTCTGTCGCCCAGACTGGAGTGCAGTGGCCACTTCCAGCCACCGCAACCTCGACCTGCTGGGCTCCGGCGATCCTCCCACCTCAGCCTTCCAAGTAGCTGGAATTACAGGCATGCGCTACCACGCCTGGCTGATTTTTTGATTTATTGTAGAGATGAGGTCTTGCTACCCAGGCGGGTCTCAAACCTGTGGGCTCAGGCAATCCACCCACCTCAGTCTCCCAAAGGCGTGGGACTACAGGCTGAGCCACCGAGCCCGGCTAATTCAGTGGTTTTTACAGTATATACAGACATGGGCAACCATCACCACAGTTGATTTTAGAACATTGTAACCACCCCCAAAGAAAACCCATACCCTTTAGCTATCAACTTTATCCCTGCCCCCCCATCCTAAATACCACTAATCTGCTTTCTTTCTCTATAGATTTTCCTGTTCTGGAAAATTTTTATGATTGGAATAATAAAATATTTGGTCTTTTGTTAGTGGTCTCTTTCACTTAGCATAATGTTTTCAAGGTTCATCAATGTTTTAGTATATATCAGTACTTCATTTCTTTTCATGGCCAAATAATATTCCATTGTATGGATATACCACCTTTTGTTTATCTATTCATAAGTTGATAGACATTTGGCTGGTTTCCACTTTTGACTTTTACGAATAATATTGCTATGAACATTCATATACAAGTTTTTGTATGAACATATGTTTTCATTGCTCTCAGATATATATCGAGGAGTGGAATTGCTGAGTTTATAGTGGTGACTCTAATCACTTAAAGAACTGTCAGATTGTTTCCCAAATTGACTACATCATTTTATATTTCTACCAGCAGTATATGAAGCTTCTAAGTTTTTTTTTTTTTTTGAATTGGAGTATCACTGTGTCACTCAGACTGGAGTGCAGTGGCACGCTCCCAACCACTGCAGCCTTGACCTGCTGGGCTCTGGTGATCCTTCCGCCTCAGCCATCCAAGTAGCTGTAACTACAGGTGTGCACTACCACAGCCGGCTAATTTTTTGATTTATTGTAGAGATGAGGTCTCACCAAGTTGCCCAGGTGGGTCTCAAACCCACGGGCTCAGGCAATCCACTCACCTCAGCCTTCCAAAATGCAGGATTACAGGCTGAGCCACCGAACCTGGCAGTTCTGATTATCTTCACCAACACTTGTTATCAATGGACTTTAAAAAAATGTTGTAAAATATGTATAACATAAAAAAAAATTTACAGTTTTAATTATCTTTAAATATATAACTCAGTGGCATTAAGTGCATTCACAGTGTTAGACAACTATAACCATTATTAATTTTCAGAAACATTTCATCATTCCTAACAGAAAGTCTGTACTTATTAAACAATAACTTTCTATTACCCAATCCTCCAAGTCCCTGGTAACCTCTATTCTACTTTCTGTGTTTATGAACTTGTCTATTCTAGGGACTTCATATAAGTGGAATCATATAATAAGTGTCCTTTTGTGTTTGACTAATTTCACTTAGCATAATTTTTTCAAAGGTTATACATATTATAACATGTATCAAGTACTTTCTTCCTTTTTATAGCTGAATAATATTTTATTATGTGGACATACCACATTTTGTTTATCCATTCATCTATTTATCCACTTTTTGGCTATTGTGAATAGTGCTGTTATGAACCTTGGTGTACAGGTCTGTTTGAATCCCTGCTTTCAATTCTTTTGGATTATACCTAAAAGTGAAATTACTATATCATATAGCAAACTCTATGGGTTAATTTCTATGGCATACATGTGAAATTTTGTTACATGTGTAAAATGCATAATGATAAAGTCAGGGTATTTAGGGTGTCCACTCCTGAGTATAGTACATTTTTATTTAACCATAATCACCCTCTGCCATCAGACACTGAATTTATTCCTTCTACCTAATTGTACATTTGTATTCCTTAACCTGCTTTTCTTTATCCTCCACCATCCCATATGTTTAAATTTTTGAGGAATCACTAAACTGTTTTTCATAGCACAGGTACCATTTCACATTCCCACCAGCAATGTACAAGAATGTTCTAAACTTTCCACATTCTAACCAACATTTGTTATTTTCCAGTTTAAAAAAATCCATCCTAATGGGTGTAAGGAATATCTCATTGGGATTGTGGTTTGCATTTCCCTAATGACTAGTGGTGTTGAGCATCTTCTTGTATACTTCTTGGCCATTTGTACATCTTCTTTGGAGAAATGTCTGTTCAAGTTCTCTGCCCATTTTTGATTTGGATCATTTTTTATTGCTGAGTTTTAGGAACTCTATATATTCTGGATACTATATCCTCATTAGATACATGATTTGCAAATATTTTCTCCCATTCTGTGGGCTGTCTTTTCACTCTCTTGATAGAGTCCTTTGGTGCCACAAAGGTTTAAATTTTTTTTTTTTTTAATTGGAGTCTCACTCTGTTGCCCAGACTGGAGTGCCGTGGCCGCTCCTGGCCACCGCAGGCTTGACCTGCTGGGCTCTGGCAATCCTTCCGCCTCAGCCTTCCAGGTTTAAATTTTGAAGTTCAATTTATATTTTTTGTTGTTGATATAGTTGTTGTCTATGCTTTGGTGTCATATTCAAGAAATCATTGCTGAATCTCAATGTCATGGTTTTCCCTATGTTTTCTTCAATAGTTTTATCGTTTTAGTTCTTCAGTTTAGATCTCTGATCAATTTTCAATCAATTTTTGTATATGATGTAAGTAATGGTCCACTTCATTCTTTTCCATGTGAATATTCCATTTTCCCAAATGTACTTCATATTGAAACAATTTCCCCTGCTCTCTGGTTTTAAGTTGCTACTTTCAATTGGATAAAAAAACCAATTTTATACTTTTTAAAAATTTCAGGCTTTTGAAAACCAAAACAAGAGGAGGTATCCCCTCTTCAATACCAAACCTAATGCCTGTTAAGCTCCATATAGGGGCTGGCTGTGCTTTAGTTGAACTTAAATAATCACACAGCAGTAACTACAGGTACCAGGCAGCATATTCCTCCTGTGTCAAATGTCTGTTGAAGGTAACTGTGATAAGCAGCAAGAAAGAGGAAAAAGTATGGCTGTATTTCTTCAATTTTTGGACCCAAATTCAGCCAGATTCTAGGCAAGGAGCTTAAAAGGAAAAATGTTTAGATCAGGGATTTTGGAATTGGAAATGTGCGTTCAAATTTAGCCTTTATTATTTCAAAGTTTTTGAGCACATGCCCCTTATGTGCCCTTGAGCATGTTGCTTAACCTTCCTAAGTCTCAGATATCTTATCTTTAAAATGGGGATAATACCTCAGGGCTAGCTGTGAGCCGCTAGTCGGTGCTCACTAAAAAGTAGTAGATACTAATGTAAAACTCATTTTCAGTCGGGCGCGGTGGCTCACGCCTGTAATCACCTTTGGGAGGCGGAGGCGCGAGGATTGCCTAAGCTCAGTAGTTCGAGACCAGCCTGGGCAACATGGCGAGACCTCGTCTCTACAATAAACCAAAAAATTAGTTAGGCTTGGTGGCGCGGGCCTGTAGTTCCAGCTACTTGGAAGGCTGAGGCTGAAGGATCGCCTGATCCCAGCAGGACGAGGCTTGGTCGTGAGCGTGCGACTGCACTCTAGTCTGGGCGACAGAGTGAGACTCCGACTCAAAAACAAAACAAAAACAAAACCAAAAAACCCTCGTTTTCCCCTTACAACTTAAGACAATGATCCTTTGCAGCACTGCCACAACCAGGCACCTAGTTTGACTACTAGTTGTATTTCTAGGTGACCCAAGACCGTTTGCTTCTGATCTCCCTGGCAGCAGAGCCGTAGGAGGTAGGAATATGACACTGCATGCAAAGTGCTCACAACAGAACCTGGCGCTTAATGGATGCCCACGATTTCTCCATCTGTGAAATTAGCGAATAAATCAGTTGAAGAGACATTCTCGGACCTCGGGTGACTCAGATTTTCCAGGCACAAGCGGAAAGGCACGTCAGAGGGAAGGAGAACTGGATGCGCTGCGTCCTGGCCCAGGTATAACGCAAGCAACGCCTCCACCTCCCGCAATCATCCTACCCTGCTCTGCAAGTGCCAGGCTGAGAGGGTGAGGGTCACGGGGCGGAGTTTATCTGGCTCCGCCCTCAGCCGGCCGCGTTCCTCATTGGCCCAGTGAGCTCGAGACTCGTGACGCCATACGCGTGCGCCAGGCGTGTAAAAGGGGGGCGTGGCTCGGTGTGAAGTAGGAAGCAAGATGGCGATGTCCGTGGGACACCGGTACCTGAGGTTACTGCTCGGGGTCGCGCCGTGGCGGAGCAGGTAGAGCAGCACGGGGAGAGTGCTTCGGGGCGGAGGGCGACTTGGGCTAAACTGGGGTCGGAAGAGACAGTCGTTTCTCTATCGTGGGCTCGCTCTCAGGTGAGCTCGGGTGGAGACGGAGCCACCTTCGCCTCGAACTCGGGAGCAGGTGCGACTACTCCGAGCTTGGGGGTAGGGCGGTCCGGATTTAGTTAGGGTGTGATCCAAACGCTCTTGGTTTGTCCTTTACAGCAAGGTGGAAGTGCACAAGGGACGAAAACCGGATGGAATAGGCTGCATGCTCGTCACTAGAGTCGAGGCAGGGCCGAATGCCTTTTTCTCAGATGTTCGTATCCCTAGAAGGGGCAGCATGATATGGGAAGGGCACTGGACTGAAAACCAGGCAGTTTTCACGTCTGATTCTTAGTCTTTGAAGCGAGAGGGTTAGATTAGGTGATCTCAAAACAATCTGTTATGGACTTGATTACATTTGTGACCCCAGCTCTAAGAGACCTGAGGACTCTTCTAAGTCCAGCTCTTTCTCTTGGAATTGACGAGATTGAGGCTCTGAGAGAAAGAGAGATTTGCTCAAATTCACCCAGCCAGTTTAGTAGCAGGACCGGGACCCCAATCCAAGTACCTGTCTCTCATACGCAGGACCTTTCGCTCAGGTTGCCCACCGTGAGAGCAGTTTTTATACAGAAACAGCTTTGGAGTATCTGGACTCTCAGAAAATGTATTAAAATGTTGATAACTGTGACTCAGAGTCGGTTGCTAAGTGTCATTTCAAAGAGCTATGGTTGAGAGATGCTCCATACCTTTGTGTTTCTGGCAGTGTTTATTTTGTCAGCATTGACCAGAGCTTGTGCTGTAACCAGAGATGATTTATCTTTGTAGTTTTGGGTAGTAAAAGGACAATGGATTTGAACTGAGGGGGAACAGAACTATCATTGACTTTGCTATGAAAGTTTTAGTTTTTCATCATTAACTGTACAGAAATAGTGTAGCTCTCTCAGGAGGGAACTTAGCAATGTGGTGGTGGTCACTGTTAGGAGCTGGACAGGAGGGTCTCTATGTTTTCACTGCTATTACCAGGTGTGCTGTTTATGAGTCAGCCATGAATTCATTTAAAGTATGTCATGAATTGGAAAGACTAAAAAATGATACTCCTAAAATAATTTTTTTAATATGGAAGGAGAATATATCCCTTAAAAAAGATGGGGGAAGCCATATTTTAGTACCAGTGTAGGTTGATATGGCTGGATTTAGGTGCAATGAAAAAAGGATTAGGATTTGGATACAATAAGAAGTGTTAACTCTTAAAGGTATTATATATCAAGATAGGGATTACATTGATACACAAAAAACCATATGGATAACATTTCTATGAGTTTTTAGTAAAGCAGTATCTGTTTGTGAGGCATATAGATGAAAGCCTCATATTTCTTTTTTTTTTTTTTAGTTGGAGTCTCACTCTGTCGCCCAGACTGGAGTACAGTGGCTGCTCCCGGCCACCGCAGCCTCGACCTTCTGGGCTTTGGTGATCCTTCCGCCTCAGCCTTCCAAGTAGCCGGAATTACAGGCATTCGCTACGACGCGTGGCTGATTTTTTTATTTATTGTAGAGATGAGGTCTCGCTGCCCAGGCGGGTCTCGAACCCGCGGGCTCAGGCAATCCACTCACCTCAGCCTCCCAAAGGCGCAGGATTACAGGCTGAGCCACCGAGCCTGGCTAAGCCTCATATTTCAGGGATATTTTTCAATAACTGGGTGATGTGTCACAAGTGATAGAGCAGAGAAAGCAACATCTTGGGTGATAATTCAGAACCGTGTGTCCCAAACACATACTGATAAAAGAATGGGTTGGGATGTTTATTAGAAATAAAGTTTCCAGATGTGCACCCATCCTGCTGTTAATTTCAGATTCAGTAGGTGTAGTTTGTACCCCTGGCAACTGTGGTTTTTGCAAGTGCCCCAGGTGATGCTTAGGTTCATGCAAGTAAAGACAGTAGTACCAGGGAGTAGTTGCTTGTGCAGGACTTCCATTCAGAAATACTTATGGCATCCCTACCACTGCAAATCACGGTGTCAGGGACTATGCGGGGGAGAGGATGAAGAATTATAAGACATTTGAAATAGGCTGTATATTCAAATAACTTTATGGTTTAGTAGAAAGTTATTTGTACTTTAACAATTTAAAGTAAATAAATACTCTAATACAAGGTGGGATATGAGATAAAGCCTTCAAGAGGTCTTCAGTTTTAGGAGAACTTTCACAGCTTTAGAAAACAGGAGACGAGCCGGGCTTGGTGGCTCAGCAGGTAATCCTGTGCTTTGGGAGGCTGAGGTGAGTGGATTGCCTGAGCCCGCGGGTTCAAGACCTGCCTGGGCAACTTGGCGAGACCTCATCTCTACAATAAATAAAAAAAAAATTAGCCGGGCGTGGTAGCAGGTGCCTGTAGTTCCAGCTACTTGGAAGGCTGAGGCAGAAGGATCGCCGGAGCCCAGCAGGTCGAGGCTGTGGTGGCTGGGAGCGGCCACTGCACTCCAGTCTGGGCGACAAAGTGAGACTCCAACTCAAAAAAAAAAAAAAAAAAAGAAAAGAAAAGAAAGGAAAACAGGAAACGCATAAATACTATGGGTGAAACATTACCACCAGGGGTGATGTTAAAAATATTTTACAACCTTGACACTATGGAGACAGACTAGTCAAGGTAGATGCTGGTCATAGGCAATTGATGAATAGCAACTCTATTACTTTAATAATAATTACAGTGTATAACTAGGTGCACTAAAGGTTTTGCATGATTGTACTACTTCTAATGAGGTGAGTTTGTTTTTCAGGTGAAAAAACTGAGGCTTAGAATTAGTTAAGAAATTACCTAATGTCACATAGCTGCTAATAAGTGGCAAAGCTGGAATTTGAGCCATACAGTCAGAGTTAAGTGGGCTTTTGTTTACCTGCTTGCGGGTTGCCCACATGAGTTCATCATGTTGAAAAGACATCTGACTGAACCTGTCATTTCCTTAGGGGCATAATCTCATTGTTGAGATTGAAATCCAGGGAGAAAGCATATAAACACCTGTGTTCATTGAGGGATACAGACAGCAAACAAATAAGTGAATACATGTACAATCTATTCATTTCAAGTAGCAATACATATTATGAAGAAAAATAAAACAGGATATTTAATTGGGAATTTAGAGAGTATTCAAGAGGGCCAATTCTTGGGCATGCAGGACTCAGGAAAAACCAAGCTGGAAGAAATATTTGAGCAGAAAGCTAAATGATGAGGAAGTGAGCCACACAAGAGAGGGGGGTGCTCAGCAGAGCAAACAGCAAATGCAAAGATGTACACATGTGTACAAGGAGTGGCAAGAGGAGTGAGTGAGAAGGAGAAGGAAAGCAGGAGATCTGAGAGGTCAGCAAGATGTAGTAGAGTCTGGTCTTATTTTCTGTTTTGAAAAGATCACTCTGGCTGTTTTTTTAAATAGGGTATAGGTGAGTATCCCTTATTCGAAATGCCTGGACCCAGAAGTATTTTGAGTTTTGGAATTTTTCTGTGGGGGGAGTATTTGCATTATATACTTTACGGTTGTGTATCTTAAATCCAAAATGCTTCAATGAGCATTTCCATGGAGCATCATGTCAGTGCTCACAAGTTTTTTACTTTGGAGCATTTCAGTTTTCAGATTTTCAGATTTGGGCTGCTTAGCTTGCATAGGGCCAGCAGTGGAAGCAGGAAGAGCAGTCATCTGGGTGAGAGATCAGATGACTTGGGCTAGGCTTAGAGTAGTGGCTGTGATGCGAAATAGGCAGATTAGGAGATATTTTGAAGTTAGGGTTTTCATACCTTGCCAGTGGATTGAATATGGGTGATAAGAAAGAATGGGCTTAAGAATGATGAGTCCTAGGGTTTTTTTTTTTTTATTTTTTATTTTTGAGTTGACGTCTCACTCTGTCACCCAGACTGGAGTGCAGTGGCCGCT